AAGTTCCTCAAATCAGTGAACAACATCAAGGACACGACCAAGTTCCTCAAGTCAAAGCTAGGATCATCGCCGAGTATCCACTAGAGGCCATTGAAGCCTTTAATATCAGTTCAACTTGGAGAGCCTAAGCTTAGATAATACTCACTCTGTAGCAAGCACAACAAGATTTTCACTTCAATACCACAGAGAAGCAACTAGAAGAAATGGCGTGGAGCATCAACATAAAGATAGAAGATTAGTTGGTACAGTTTTTCATCCTTGTTACTCAATGGAGTATGCAACCCAACATCAACTACTCCAAAGAGCAAGGATACGGGCAAACCCATCTATCTAAATGAAGCAATGTGGAAGCACCTGCACAAAGAAGCAAAGAGAAGACCCGGACAAAATGTATATGTCTTTACTTGCCTTTGGAAAAACAACATCTAACCATCCAAAGGACAATTAAAGAGAGGTAGTTGTAGACACCCAATTTCTTCCGGGGTACCCAAACCAAGGACAAAAGTCTACTAGAGCGAGACAAACGACCCTTGAGGTCTAAATGCATTGGGAAGCATTTTTCTTATGATAATATCTCTCGTTACAGACCTAATTTTGACGATCCAACCATTGATGTTAAAGATCAATGTATTGACAAGATATCATCAAAATTTCAGCATGATCTAACAGTTAACGAATTCTCTAGAGGCCTCGCACTACAGTTAGAAAGAGCAGCACGTACGACCCCTAAAGGCCCAATAGAGCACTTAAACTGGCCAAGATGCCTCCAGATGGCCCATAAAACTAAAAAAAACTGATCTGGAGCATGGAATGTCAGTTCCCAAATTGGAACAGCCCGTTCCCAATGTTGGAACGGCTTGTTCCCCTTTCTAGAAGATTTTACATTGAGCAGCATTTTTGTTTTGATAATATCTCTCGCTAAAGATCTAATTTTAACAATCCGACCGTTGCAATTAAATACCAATTTATTAAGAATATATTATCAGATTTTTAGCATGATCCAACGGTTAATGAATTCTCTAGAGGCCTCGCATTGCAACTAGAAAACAGGAGTCTTATACCAGACAACATTTAATTATGATAGTATCTCTCACTATAGACCTAATTTCAATGATCTAACCATTAAAATTGAAGATCAATAGATTGTGAGGATAGCATAAAAAAACCAACACAATCCGACAATTAACAAGTTCTCTAAAGGTCTTGGATGGTGCCTAGAAAAAAGATTGTATTTTTATAAAAATTAGTTCCACATCGGATAGCTCTCTTATGTTTATACCTCCTAGTTGGCTATATAAGAAACCCTTTGGTTAAGGGATTAGAAGACCAAAAAAAGTTGCATAGCTTCCCCCCTCTCTATATAAATCTCTTAGTGATAGTGAAGTTTTTGTAGAGTGAAGGGCTGCCAAAACGCACCCCGCACGCATTTGGAAAGATTCCCTTATAAAAGACTTGCTTTAGAAGTTTTAAATTCTTCTCTTTTATTTATTATGTTTTATTTATTTTATTTATTATTTTATTTCTTTATTTATCATTTTATTTATAATTCTTATATGCCAATAAATAATCATGTTGATAATAGATATTTTTCGTCATGTAAATAATATTAAATAATAAAAGGGGATAAGATATTAAAAATATTATTTATTATTATGCTAATATCATCATAGGGTACCGATTTAGGGCATTGTAGGGTGCTTAATACCTCCCCTACACATAATTGACTCCCGAATCCAATTATGGCTATGAAGGCCTTTATTGTAATTTTAAAATCTTTTCTTTTTCCGATATTTTAAGTAAATTATGAGTGACGACTCCTTCGAACTTTTTTCAAAAATCGTTGGTTAGGAACTAGTCTAGTCTCTGCTAACCGATGAGATTTTCAAAACGAAAGTCCAAATCATTTGTGAGTAAGATTATAATTTTTTGGATTCTGACACTTTAGAAAACTTATTTTCTAAAAAATAAATTTTCGTAAAGAACTAATTTTTAAAAAAGAAAACAATTAAACCCCTTTCTTGTAGTCTAAAATTAATTTTAGGAAATTCTAACAACACTCTTTAAATAATTAACTATTAGTTAAATTTCATCAAAAATTACATAATTAAAAGAGTTATTCGTTAAATGGAAAGTGACCAGCCAAAAATGTATAGATTGTAACAAGTTTAACTCGACTATAAGGAATATGTTAGAAGGAAAAAAAAACAAGTATATATAGATACCATTTCCGATGTTTATTAATGGAGGATTACTTTATAGAAGTATTCAAGTAATGGAATTAGTCCTACCTAATTTGGCATTCAGAAGAAGTTTTACCTAATGAACTTTAATGGGATTAGTCTTACCTAATTTGGGATGAAAAAATCGTTTTTACCTATTATCAAGTAGTTTTTTTTTTTAATATGATGGTTTTTTTAAAGAAAAATTAAAGATATGGGGAGGTGGGCCAGGTTTCATTGATAATAGAAGCTAGGGGGATTTATAAAGCAGGGTACTAATAGGGTCTCAAAATAAAATTTTAAAGGATATTGTTATCAAGATTAATCAAGGATAATTTTATCCAAATATTATGTGAACAGTGCCTTCAAAATTTTAGAAAGATGTTTCCGAAACAAAAAAAATGACTCAACATGCGCTTTTAAATGAGCTTTAAAAAGGACATTAAAAAAGAAAAGAGAAGAAAAATAAAATAAAATAAACATCTAAATTAATCGTCGAGCGTTTATAAATTAGAATGCCTTTGAAATTTAAAAAACTTATTAGTTTATGACTTTGCAAGGATCAATTATTTTAATCATTTTATTTTATTTTTCAGTGTTGTTTTACATCAATTAGTAAAATACAAAAGTAAACGTCTTACAATGTCAAAAACTAGCTCTCAAAAAAATGTCAAAAACTAATTTTTTAAAAAAATTTCATAAACTAAAATAATTCAATCTTGAGAATTAATTTGAGGGTTTACTAAATGTTGAAAAGCAGTAAGGTAACGTTTACAGAACCACTGTAATAGTAAGATGTAACCAAGTAGTTGGAAAGGTAAACAAGGTCATAGACAAAAGATTGAATTCATAGGACTATTGCTTTTTCTCATTATCAATATAATCTAATTTCAAACAGTATCAACTATCAAGGTTAGCAAGTTGAGGAAGACACGAGTAATCATATTCTAATCATTTTGCATATAATCATTTTCCATTTAATATTAGCTAATCCTTCTCTTTCAACAAAGATTTTAACAATATTGTTTTCTGCTAGTGTAACCAACACCATTTAGGTTCAGCAATAATTTTTGAAACATGTCTGACCAATATAAATCAAGTTGCGAATCGAATTATCAGTCTGATTGAATACAAATTAAGAATGCTTTTCAGAATTTTTTTACTAAAAATAAAAAATATTTTTTATATATATAGAAACTCTCAAAATCATTTTTAAATTTGCATCTAAACAATCTTAATTTCCTCCTTGAGCTTAAGATTTTGATTATTCAAAAAAAGAAAACACGCCACTGTAATAGAACAGAAGAATTTAAAGTCCAGAAATGAAAACCCAGATACAGGTCTGCACGTCAGCACGCAGAGTCGTAGTAAACTAGTAAACTAAACTTGCTGGATAAAATACCCAACCTGTGGATTCACGAATCTTTAGCCAAATAAATTATAACTGATTATTCTAACCTAAACAACATAAATATAGTTGACTATATTCTAAAACAATCAGCATTTCTTATATGTGACATAGACAATCATAACTAAGATGCTTTTCATACTCTTCCTAATATGCAAATGATGTTCACCTATAATTTCAAGTAAGTTTAATTATTTTTTTAATTTTTTAATTTCATCAACTTTACTTTTAGTTCTTACAGTTAAGATATTTTCTTTTAGTCCCTATTCAATATACATAATATTTTTTATTCTTTTTAGTCCCTATCATCTATTCTTACATGGACTAAAAACAAAAGTATGATTTCCGAAACTATAGAAATTCAAAAAAAAAAATTGTATATATAAAAAAATGAAATAAGATATTTTAAATTATAAAGACTAAAACATAAAATTGATTAATCTATAAAGGATAATTTAACCTTTCAAATATAAAACTAATAAATCTTGTAACAAAGAAATGACTTGAGCTACTTCAGGAATGGAGATGCATATTAAACAATTTAGAGTCCAAAACTTTTTCTCATGTTTGCAAGATAAGAAGACATACATCTAAAATCGAACTCTATATCCTTCAAGTGTACGTGTAGCTACATATCTAGTTACTCTTCTTTAGACGCCCCCCACCAACCCCCTTTATTTTTCTTTTCTATCACATAATGCACCAAACAGGCCAGCATAGGAACCTTCCAGATCCGATGAAGAGGAACAAAGCAGCTCAATAAAAGCACTCACGAAATGATGCTAATAATGAATCTATATCTCTATATAAAAGCAATTCCATGATGATGCTAATAATGAATCTATATCTTTATATAAAAGCAATTCCATATTTTTGTGTAAACAATTGTTAAACTGTTTTACTCTTATAAATTATAACCACTTCTAATTTACTCACTTGCACTTTCTTCTCCTAAACCACTCTCACTTCTTAAATAATAACCTATTTTATTATTTCTATTTTTGTTATTATTTTTATATTTTAAAATTAAGAGGGGCACGAACTGCCTCTTCGTGCCTCTTTTACACCAGAGGATCTATATATAGGATTATCACAACAACTAGTGCTAAGTCAAAAACAGACCAACCTCCAGCTTTGGCTTCTCTTACCAATAGAAACAAAGGTAGACTATTTCATCATCAACAGATTCATCATCCATTCAGCAGCACAATCCTATCTAAAATATCAGAGTAAAACAAAAGTCACTATCTTTACCAACTAGTTTTTGAAGCAAGCATAATTAACTATCAAAACAACCTTCATTAGTTTAAAACATTACCAAACTATCAAAGCTACCAAATAAATAAATAACACAATAGTACTCCCCAGCAGAAGAATAGAAAACCTGAAAGTTGTTGCTAGCTATCAACACTGTAAGAATGTACAACACATCATGATATTGCTCATATCATAACATAATAATCAATAGAATATAATCACAACAACTAAATCATCACCTAATTTGTACAACAAATCCGCTTGTCTAAACCTAAATTGACCAGAATTCCCTGCATTTACAATCACACGAAATTCCCTCATTGAGCTAATCAGAAACATTGAATGAAGATTACACAAGTTATATTTCATCTCGATAAATATAATTCACAATAGGTGTCTCTTTGAATACAAGTTAAAGAGTGTTTTTCAAAGCTTTCCTACTAAAAAAAAAAACACTTTATTTTCAGTAGAAAAACTCTCAAAAACTCAATTAAACTAGTATCCAAGAACAGGTTCTATGTATCTGAAATGTGAACTGTCCTATCTTCCTCCAAGGGTTCCAATTCAACAATACATGAATGTGTGTGTGTGAATTTCAAAGAGCAAGATCACCTGCAATCAGGGAACTTTCACACTCACACATTCAACTAATCAGAACCATTGAATGAAGATTGTACAGGCTTATATGTTATCTCGATGAATATAACTTGAAATGTGAACTATCCTATGTTGATTCAGGGAAATGTGAATGCAGAGAATCCATTTTTAGCCAGCAAAGAACAAAAAGAATAATAAAATTGGCAACCACAAGAGAATCAAACTCATTCCGAATCATGATTCCGCGAGGAACCAAAAGAAGAACACGTGTCGCTATTCAAAGCAACATCGCCATCGCCATCGCCATTGCCATGGCTTTCACCGAGCAAGAGCCTCAACAGCTCGGCGGCCTTGCTCTTCCCCTTGCTGCTCCCGCCGTCCCTGACGTCGGCGACGCCGTCGAGCGCGCCGAACGCGACGGCGTCTCGGACGTCGGCGGCGACCTTGTCGCCGCCGCAGCGCACCAAATTGAGGAGCGCGGAGACGGCGTTCTCCTTGGTGCGCATGGTGGCGGCGGTGGAGAGGTCGAGGAGGTCGGCGAGGACGCGGAGGGCGGAGGCCTTGCGGAAGGCGTCGGCGGCGTCGGGGGAGGCGGCGACCTGCGCGACGACGGCGGTGGCGTCCTCGACGATGCCGAGCCTGCCGTCCTTAACGAGGAGGGAGAAAAGCGCGGGAACGACGCCGAGGTTTATCATGGTGGAGCGGTTGAGCGGGTGAAGGGCGATGGCGAAGAGAGCCTTGAGCGCGTCCTTGATGGTGCGCGGAGGGGAGGACACGTGGCAGCGGAGGATGTCGACGAGCGCGTAGACGATCTCGCGCTTGGACCCCACGAGGGGGCGGTACTCGTCCACGGAGGAGAGGAGGCTGTGAATGGCGGCGGATGCGGACTGGACGGCGGCGGGGGAGGAGGTGGTGTTGTGGTGCGAGATCACGTGCGCGATGGCGTCGAGGACGCCACGTGTCGCCATGAGGGGTTCCTTTTGGGTTATGGAGAGGTTGAGGAGTGTGGCTGCGGCGTTCTCTTGGGAGGGGTGGGAGGAGGAGTAGAGGGTCTCTGCGATGTAGGGGATTGCGCCTGCTTCGGCGATGATGGGTCGGGTTTCGGGGTCTTGCTTCGACATGAGGCGGAGCTGGCAGAGGGCGTCCATGCGGGCTGCTTCGGAGACGGAGCTGAGCTTCGAGACGAGGCTGCGGACGGTGCGTCGCTTGGGCTCCATTGCGAAGGAGGTTGGGACTTGGGAGGGAGAGGGAAAAGCGCGTTGCAAGGGCGTGTTTGGTTAGGTTGGAGGCGTGGGGAAGTAGGACTCAGAAGGGGAAGGGAGTGTGATGTGATGAGAGTGGGTCGTGGCGGTTTCCCGCGGGGTTGACTGGTTGAGGCTTGGAGGTGGACAGGTAGGTATTTTATTTGGAGGGGAAACACCCAAACAAAGGTGTAAGGATAGCATTTTGATTCCTTTCATACACCTTTTCTTCTTTTCTTTAGTAATTAGATCAATCACATTTTCATTTCAAACCTTTTTCTTTTTTTTCTCATTGCCTTTTTAATCGGGTTTTAACAGCGTTCTTCACCCTTTTTTTTTTTTTTTAATTCCTTTCATACACACTTTTCTTTTTTTTTTTTTTATTTTAAGAGAGACTTTTTCACTTTTTCTCTATGTAAATTCTTTTCGTACACACTTTTGTATTTATTGTTTTTTAATTGAATTTTAAGAGTGTAGTTGGTTGGAATTGGAAACATATCAGAAGATAAATGTTTAGCAGATCCTACAACCATAAACTTTAACAACTACATAGATGAGCCCATAACTTTTAACAACTACATAGATGAGCCTAATGATAATTGTTGAGATAAAGAACTTTCAATTTAGTAGTTGAATTTACAAAATTTATATTTAATATAAAGTTATTAAGTAGTATAATACTTAGTAAAAGTTACATTGGTGTTGTTTGAACCATCTTCATATATATGTGTCTGTGCGCGCGTGTGCATGCACAATGTATAATTATAGTTGAAATCCTATGAAAGGGTTTATTTTATTATTATAATTGTTAAAGAAACTTTTAAACATGAGTATGTAACGATCTACCATGGCTGTACACTACGAAACAACAACTAAACAATTGAAATATATACTAAAATAGTATAATACAAATATATAAACATATATGCAGCACAGGTGGCCCAACATGCCACAAATATATATATTTACAACTAACAACAAAATATTCTACCCCTAAGGGTAGTTTACAAAATACAAACATCTCTAGCTCCCGCCACTAGGTAGCCTCCATCTTCAACATGTTAGTCTATCTCAACCCTGCTCCCATACAATATATGATCATCGCAATCCAAACCACATGGAAACATACAAGGACAAGCTAGGTAAAATAAACAACACATAATATATATACAACATAGCAACTTATGGTTCATCATCATCACATTCAACGCAAACAACAAACAACTCCTAAACTATTCACATTTTCTACAACTTACAACACATCATCACATAACAACACATTATCATCACATCAACACATATTCAACTCATCAACACATATACGTCGTCACACATTTCAACTCGAAGATTTCCTACAACATAGGGTGAGCAATTTAAGTGATTAGATCCTATCGAACCGACAACACAAAACTTTTTTGAGCTTGCTAGGTAAACAACAAATTTGGATAAAAATCCACAACACGATAACGATTTCTCAGACTTTGCCACTTAAACAACGTAGAATAGTACTATGATAGGATAGGACAACTAGGTTTAGACCTACCACGACATTAGTTAGCTCAACTAAGCCACCTATGGGATTAGTCTACTGATTATCCTCTAAATATAACCCTCTAATACTCGATTAGGAACTAAGTTCCCTACTTCGTACTTTACTCAAATTGGCCGCTTGTAATTGGTATAGCTTGACTTGGCCCCTATACCATGGTTGCTTTATACACGTGTGCATCAACCTTGCCCACACACGGGATCAACTAAGTCCTATAGGAGAACAACACATCATCCACTCCAAGAGACAACTTCCCAAAGGGGGTTTTCAACAAATTGGGCTCTCAAAGTACCATAACACACTCAATCCACACAATGGGATGAACAACTTTTCAAAAATATCTCTTTTAGTCCTAAGTGGTCAACACAACTAAACAACACAGCTCAATCAACACACAACTCAACAGCACAGTTCAACTCAACAACTCATAATAACAACACAATAATTTATTATATTTTTAGTACAACAACATAGTTATCATCTCATCAACTCAACTATCAGCTCATTTCAACTTTAAACAACACAAACAACTCAATAACTCAACAACTCAACTCACAAGTTATAGCTCAACCATCATAAAGTAACATCTTTTCAACATATAGTACGACATACAACTTTATAACAACATACAACTCTCAACTAACAACTTAGCAACATTATCATCATGCACTTCACAACTCTCAACTAGATTATCTCACATATTTCACAACATATACATAGTCAACACACAACATATAACAACTTTAACAACTTAATTTCAACATGCTTCAAAAATATCATCTTTTCAACATATAATTGATCAACACACAACTCATAAACAACTTAAATAACATACAACATATAAACAACTCCAATAACATGCAACATGTTCAACACATAATGTTCCTCATTATATCGATTCTCTACAACTTATTCAACATCATTTAACCATAATACAACTCAAACAACAAGTTTTCAACATACAACTCATCCATCATGTAAGCAACCAACTTAATTAGAATTTTTTTTTATTAAACTAAGTTCCCAAGCTTAGTGCAGAAACTCATGCTCAGCCTCAGCCTTCTAGAGGCACAACTCAGCTTTCATGTTCAGCATAGAATCCCACGCTCAGCGTCAGCCTTCCAAAGGCACAACTTACTCATGCTCAGTGTAGAATCTCACGTTCAGTCCTAGCTTTCCAACAACACTCTCAAATTTTCACGCTAAGTGTCCCAAACCCAATAAACTCATACCAATAGATGAATAACTCAAATCTCCAAATCCTCTCAACCTATGCAATGATCAAGGAATGCAACTCAAAAACCTTCCAACACTAACATCATACAACTCAGAAAATCCAAGAAAAACAGCATGCATCCACAACAAACTCAAGAAAATCATCACATTTAAACCTTACCTCAAAAACAACAAAAACCCTCAATTTTCAACACAAAACCCCCTTGAATCCTCCCCACAGTTGCAGATTTCACAAATTTACCAACATTAACCTTCAATCCATTCATCAACTCTACGTGTTCAACCCAAAACTCCAAAATTCCAGCTTTCCTTACCTCAAAGGAAGAAGAATCCAACTCCAAGCTAAAGAGAAGGGAGAAGAAGAAGTGTTCGCACGACTTCGAGGTTGAGGAATGACAACGGAACTTCAACCACGACTTTGAGACTTCCTTGCACTCTTAAGTTTCAACAACTTGCAAATGAGACCAATAATGTATCAACTTCAGCTAAAGGGTGAAGAGTGAAGGATAGTGGTTAACAAGGAAGAAGGTTTAGAGGTTGGAGAGAAAATAAGAGTGAAGGGGTTTACGAGTCTTACAACGCATATATTATCGCATGTATATTAGATCCTACATGCATGTTAATCGTAGGTAGTAATATTTATGTTTTTTTGCTATGAGTATCTGAACTATAAAATGTAGTGATCTAACGAACTGTTACATGTTCCCATAAATAATAATCATGATATTTTTATTCATAACCTTTATAATATTATTTTATTTTTTATATGACCTTTTTATAAGTAAAAAAAAAAGTTTAATTTAAGTCGGACCAGAAAACATGATTTAATAAAGAAAACTACATATTATGTTTATAAATTAAAAAAAAAAAAGTGAACATATGAGTTTAGTATAAGCGATACATGTCACATCATGCAAGATTACATATCATTTTACTTATACGATTTATTTAAAAAAATAAATAATATATTATGGAAAAATATTTTGATTTATTTTAATATATTTTCACTTTTTAATTCATTATTTTAATATTTTAATTTTTTAAAAATGCAATTTATTTAATTTATTTTTAATATATTACTTTAATTTTTTGAAGACAAAAATATTGTCTTTCATATATTAAGAAAAAGTAAATTGTAACGACCCGTCATGGTCTTTACACTTAGTGGAATCGCACTACAACTAGTGAACTAAGAGAAATATTAAAGTTGGATAACTCATACATACAGGTAGATATAACTATAATAATAACGATGTTTCTATGTACAAAATATAACATCATATATGTACAGTCATCCCAAATACAATATCTCCCTAGTGTCGGTCAAGCACAAACAAAACAGTTACCCAATACGGTAACTCTAACACGAGGAAAAAACTCTACATCTCGCAACGGTCACCTCAACTCCAAGTTAGCCTTGACCTGCTCTCATACCAAGTATGATCATCGCAGTCCATCCACATGAAAACAAAAGGGTAAGCTAGAGTTCAAAAATCAATCATACAAGTATAGAACAAAATCTATACTACACATTCATCCAATCAAGTCCCAAAGGAACTCTCATCTCAATCAATCATCAATTCATCAAACATGAAGTCACACCACACACTTCATCATAACAACAATCATGCAATAACATGTAATTCATGACATATATCAGTGCATATCAATCATCTAATGCGTTGTCACGCATACACCTAGGAGATCTCCCTAACAACAGAGTAGTGTAAGAGACATCCCAATCCTACCGAAACCACCCTAACCGTTTTCATACCAAATGCGCCTGCTCGGTCACAACTAAACAGAATATAAATCCTCCCTCGGGTTTACTCGGATGATATCAGTTTCACAATTGGAAGTCCAGTTCCACCTCAGGTATAGCATTTGGCATGCATTACCAAGTCACTTGTGGAGTTCGCCCACCGACTATCCGCAAGCAACCACGCACCTTCCCTAGTACTTGGTTAAGGAAATAACCCTCGACCTCATACTCCGCTCCAACACTAGCTAAGGACTTAGAGGAGACTCACCCAAACCAGTGGCCTACCTGAGCACCACTCTCACCTAAAATTAGTGGCCTACCTGAGCACCACTCTCAAATATCAGTGGCCTATCCAAGCACCACTCTCAAGAGACTCTATGTGAGCTCTTCTAGTTTGAAAACATTTTTCCTCTCCTCAAGTCCTAGGCTAGACTCATGCCATAAGGCATCACATGCAACTATGCATCACACATCATACATGGTCTACCCACCATCATGATCAATAATCATACTCATGCCATAAGGCATCACATGCAATAATACATCATACATCATACATGG